TGAACAACTAACACATACTGTACATTGAGACCGTAGGCTCCAAACAGTGTGGTTTTCTGTGATGCAGCTCTGCTCTGGGGGTTGGTCAGTTAGTTTCACCGTCTGAGGTTAAACTGGTGGATAGCTTTGCAGCAACAGCCATTAGCAACACTCAAAACATTAGAAACAGTAAAGTGCGTGAGCTTATTGAGTGTGAGTGGAATTTAATGGTCTCATTTGATGTGTGAAAATATGTGTTGATATGAATTTGGTTTGAGACAGTGGAAGATCTGTTGTTGTTGTGTCTCACTCCTCTGTTAATCACATAAACAGATCAAACTGTTACTAAAGCTGCCTTGAAACTTCTATTTTTGTCCTTTTGTTAGTGAGGCTAATCTCATTAAGTCATATCCAATTGTATGATCTATTCCTTATTCTATAAATTGAGGATTGTTGATTATTCTATAATCCAGGATGTGCAGATGTAGTTTGTTTTGTGTCTTTGTGTCTTTGTGTCCGGAATCTCTTTCAAATTGACAATGTATTGCAATTTTGATATCCACTATTTTTTTTTTTAAAACCCGTCATAAGGTCTTTAATCTTTAGAAATATTCCAAATACTAATTTCATATCAAGTAGAGATACTTTCACACAGTAGTAAAATCCTGTGTCTTGAAGAGTGGACGAATGTATAATCAAATCAAAGGTTCTTTTTCCTTGTTTTGCCGTGGTGCGAGAAGTTTTAATTTCTTTATCAAAATCAAATGAGGAAGTTGATCCTAAAATATCAAATGAATTTCCCGACAAAACTCTGATCCAGTGAAATGTTGGACTATCCACCATTTCGACAGAACGTGGACAGGTCAGAGTCACTGTTTCTCCGACAGCATGAGTTCTTGTCACAAATAAAGGATTCACCAAACATTCTGTAAAACAAATGTAGGTTAAATAATAATAATCCAACAATGGTCAGGATCTGTGAATCTGTGACTTACGGACTGTTCTGACGGAAAGTGCTGCAAATACCACGGACCACATGATCTTGGTGACGACCTGTTTTCATGAAGTGATAATAAAATGGTGTCTCATTATTATATTGATATCAAAGGGAGGAGCTCTTTCTGATTGGTTTGTTCTCAGCTTCATATGGTCACAGTGGAAAATCTTTGGTGTCAACTTGTTTCTTTGAAGGGTGAAGGGCTTCCCTCCTCCTCGTCTGCACTCAAGTCTACTGTCTGTCTACATATATAAATATACAAATGCTGTGATAGAGTGGGACACTCTGGTGTGTGCTGATCTGAGCGCCTGCACTGTATTACGGGCTCCGGTCAGACTTTTTACAGACTAATTACGTAAATATACTATTACAAAAAACTCGAAAATATACATAGTGAACACAAACAAAGGGCAAGTTACAGAAATACAATTCTAATAATACTACCTCTTTATACAAACGTTCACACTTCTGTCTTATGCACGCACACGTCCACACACACAGGGGAACATAGCAGACTAAGAAAAGAGCAGAGGTGAAATGGGGGGCAGGTGACCTCACTAGTGACGTCAAATGGTTTACAAAATACAGTAAGACTTTCTGACAAATGCTGCACATAAAAATCTGTGAGCTTTTTCAAGTCAATTGGCTCCAAAGTTATAGTAACCTTTTTGAACAAGATGATGAGTCCCAAATCTTAAAATGTGACGCAAAATATTATTAATAATGCGTTTTATACAGCGCTTTTTAGGACACTCAAAGACACTTCACGTTCATTCACTCCAAACACAGTGGTGATAAACTATTATTGTAGCCACAGCTGCCCTGGGGCACACTGACAGAAGCAAGGCAACCAATATGTGCCATCGGCCCTCCGACCACCACCAACCATTCACACACACCAGACTCATTCTAGGCAATGTGGGTGAAGTGTCTTGCCTAAAAGGACACAATGATAGTTTAGCACTTTACAGTCGCAGCCGCCCCACTGTGACACCTGATGTTCCCAGAGGTCTCCCATCACAGCACTAACCAGGCCCTGCCCTGCACTCCTGGGCATCTGGGATCTGACTTCCGCACGTTTTTCTTTTTTTTTACTCATTATGCTAAAGACATAAATATATATTCTTTTTGATCCCAGAGGTAGAGATTCTAATTTAATTTTTGTTTTAGCATAAAATTATTGATCTATTGCTGCATGCTCCTCATTCCTACTGTTCTGTAACTGGTGCAACACTGACATTTCCCCACTGTGGGACGAATAAAGGATCTCTTAATCTTAATTTCTTAATAAGTTTGGCGCTAACTCTCCTGACTCTACAATGACACCTCTGATTAGAATGGACGAGTCCAAGATAAGTTTGTTGCGCAAATCTCTGGAAAGAAAAAAAGTTCATGATGACGAAGAAGACTGCAATCCCCCACAAGCCACTCTTTGAGAAAACTGTTCCCTGTGAAATGAGGACGAGCTGTTTCTGTTAACATCCAGGTCTATGGGAAAGTGTCCTGTGACGCCCTGGTGAATACAGGCTGCAATGATGTGGACGGCCGACCTCCGTTCAGAGGAAGCCGTGTGGAGGAGACTGCTGAGTAAAGCAGATAGAAGGCAGGAGGCGGGTCCAGGTGAACAGAAGGATGTACGGCCTGTTTGGAGTAAAGAGACGACTTTAGCCAGGCCTCTGCACCGTAGAGTTGGTGTTTAACCCATATTAGACCATTCTTCTTTTGAAATGGGACGTTTTAGAGGGAGTTAACACCAAAGCCACTTTTTTAAACTCAAAATGTCATTAGACCAAAATAAACTAAACTAACTGAACTTTGTGGCATTATTTTGAGATTTAAGTACATATCACCTGTCGTTAAAAATAGGACATTTGGGTCATAAATAGTGTCATGCCTGTCCTCTTCATGACACAGTCTTCAGAGGACAGGTGTGCAGTAGTAACATGTGACATCACCTCCCTACACTTTTGACCCTGCAGATAGGTTGCTTGATAATAACGGAGAGACAGAAACTTCTGTGAAGAGAAAAGAAAACAGAGTTCACTTTTGCATGTGCAGTCTAACTGACTGAGCACAGAACTGATCAGAACACCAGATGTGTCATGCTAATTTTCCTCCATTGTATTTATTCTCGGCGAACATATACGCATCAATTTATTTTACATTATGACATCAAAAACATGAAATTGATAATCACTGACTGAAACATGCTGACAAAAATATTCAAGATGTTAAAACATTCAAATACATGAATTCAGGTCCATTTCAAGTTCAATATCTGATGGGATTATTAAAACTAATTTAAAATAAAAAATATGATGACACAAAATATCTTCCATTCCTAAATCACAACAGTAGTTATCTCAGTAGATTTTACAAAACCTTCGACTCGTCCACACAGATTAGAGAATCAAACAGTTCAAACACAGGAAATGCAATGATAAAAACCAAACAGAGACATTGGTCCTTAAGGGACAGAGCCCAACGTCATAAATTTAAATAAATGATCATAAATGTTGTTGAATGTTGCGTGTCCTGGATCATCACCACTGTCCTTAGACTCTCCACAGAGTCTTTCAAACATATGTTAACAAATAAAATGTGCCAAATTACATTATCAACATGTTGCCCTCTCGAGCCCAAGAGGGGTGAGAATTGTAAACCCTGAGAAAGGAAAACAGGAGACCAAATATGAGTTTGTCTTGTCCTCATCAACAGCAGGGTTTATTCTGCCGTTCTGTCCGTCTCCTAACTCATGTTGCTCATTCGCCCCCTTGTGGCACATCTAAGTATTGCATAAGACAGTTAACTGAACGTTTGTCCATATAAACAGTGTCATATTTAAACAAATAGTAGGGTGTCTGGTTTTAACGACTGACATTTCTTATGACTTACACTAATTATATTTTAGCTGTTTTTAATCACTTTTTAATATATTTTAAACTATGAGCCTTACAAACACCTTCTGAAAACTTTCAATTCCAGCCTTTAAAAATAGTTGTAAAATGAGCTGTCTGCTATTGTGTCTGTAAGTGAATAGTTTGAAAAGACATATCACTTTCATTTGCAGAACAGCAAACAGACTACGCTGCAGATCAAAAGTGAACAACTAACACATACTGTACATTGAGACCGTAGGCTCCAAACAGTGTGGTTTTCTGTGATGCAGCTCTGCTCTGGGGGTTGGTCAGTTAGTTTCACCGTCTGAGGTTAAACTGGTGGATAGCTTTGCAGCAGCAGCCATTAGCAACACTCTAAACATTAGAAACAGTAAAGTGCGTGAGCTTATTGAGTGTGGGTGGAATTTAATGGTCTCATTTGATGTGTGAAAATATGTGTTGATATGAATTTGGTTTGAGACAGTGGTTGATCTGTTGTTGTTGTGTCTCACTCCTCTGTTAATCACATAAACAGATCAAACTGTTACTAAAGCTGCCTTGAAACTTCTATTCTTGTCCTTTTGTCAGTGAGGCTCTATGATCTCTCTCTGGTCACTGAGGCTAATCTCATTAATCTCATGATCTATTCTTTATTCTGTAAATTGATGATTGTTGATTATGCTATAATCCAGGATGTGCAGATGTAGTTTGTTTTGTGCCTTTGTGTCCTTGTTCTGCACTAGTTTCATTGTGACGTGTAAAGTTTGATTTCAGTTGAGTTTTGGGGGTGGCGTTGCTCATACACTTTTTGCTTCAGCCCACACCTTTTGTGCAGTATTAATGCTGTTCAAATCAATAAATAAATAGGAAAAAAAAAAAAAAATCTCACCCTGAGTAAGTGTATAACAGATTACACGCACAAACAGTCAATACAATACAAACCATTTTATTAAAAGGAGATATATTCTGCAAAATAGGTGCTGTATCGCTCAGTTCTACTCGTCACAGACTCAAACAAACATGAATAAAACCTGAAAAAACATGGTCTTTCAATATTATGATCTTAAAGCGAGAAGAACAGTTTGACTCTGACGTCTGAGTAGAGAACATGTTCCTCTGCCTTCACTGCTCTGCGCTGGGAGCGGTCAGCTCTGCTCTTGTTGCACTTTTTGGGCAGAGTAAATCACCTACAAAAGAATATAGTGGTAAATATTCTGCATGTTGGTTATCGTCGTAAAGTATGTCTTACCAACGACATTGTTTGTCCATCACCGACTCTTCCGTCACCAATATGTTCAACTATGAAATACACAGTTAGAACACAATGCATGACCTTTGATTAAAATAATGGGAGCTTAAATTACCATTACCACTCTTGACGAAAAAATAAATGAGGACTATTATACACATGACACTGACGGCCAGAGCGACAATGACGGCCAGAGTGATAAGGACACTTGATTTCTCTTCTGTAATAACATTTCATGCTTTTTGAGTGTGACAAAATGTACACTACACAAAAAAGTTACATTACCTTTGACAATGTCTTTGGTTGCGTTTCCGAAGAGAACACGTCCGCATGCGGCCACAGCACAGTGGAGGGAGCCGGAGTCAGAGGCTTTCAGGGTTTTAGAGAAAGTGTAGAAACATGTTTGAGGAGCAGGACTGCTGTCACACTGAGCAGAGCTGTTCTTCTCAGTCCAGACCAAACCATAGTCCGGTCCAGATCCAAACCACCAAACCATGTGCTCCTCAAAACACTGAGCATCCATCTGGACCGAACACTCGACGTCCACCGAGTCTCCAGAATCCACAGGACTCAGAACGTTCATCTCTGAGTCTGAAGAGAAAAGTCTGCAGTAAGTATCTCAACAAAGTCTAACTATAAAAGTGGCTTACCCTTAATCTTTAGAAATATTCCAAATACTAATTTCATCTCAAGTATATATACTTTCACACAGTAGTAAAATCCTGTGTCTTGAAGAGTGGACGAATGTATAATCAGATCAAAGGTTCCCTGTCCTTGTTTTGCCGTGGTGCGAGAAGTATTAATTTCTTTGTTATCATCATGTGAGGGAGTTCCTCCTAAAAAATCAAGCGAATTTCCTGACAAAACTTTGATCCAGTGAAATGTTGGAGTTTCCCCCAGTTTGACAGAACGTGGACAAGTCAGAGTCACTGTTTCTCTGACGGCATGAGTTCTTGTCACAAATAAAGGATTCACCAAACATTCTGTAAAACAAATGTAGGTTAAATAATAATAATCCAACAATGAGCAGGATCTGTGAATCTGTGACTTACGGACTGTTTGGACGGAAAGTGCTGCAAATACCACGGACCACATGATCTTGGTGACGACCTGTTTTCATGAAGTGATAATAAAATGGTGTCTCTCTCATTATTATATTGATATCAAAGGGAGGAGCTCTTTCTGATTGGTTTGTTCTCAGCTTCATATGGTCACAGTGGAAAATCTTTGGTGCCAACTTGTTTCTTTGAAGGGTGAAGGGCTTCCCTCCTCCTCGTCTGCACTCAAGTCTACTGTCTGTCTACATATATAAATATACAAATGCTGTACATGAAAATCTGTGAGCTTTTTCAAGTCAATTGGCTCCAAAGTTATAGTAACCTTTTTGAACAAGATGATGAGTCCCAAATCTTAAAATGTGATAATAACTAATTACATAAAGATAATATAGCACTTTTGAGGACACTCAAAGACACTTCACACATCATCATTCATTCACTCCATACACAGTGGTGATAAACAACCATTGTAGCCACAGCTGCCCTGGGGCACTCTGACAGAAGCAAGGCAACCAAAATGTGGCCCTCCGACCACCACCAACCATTCACACACACACCAGACTCATTCTAGGCAATGTGGGTGAAGTGTCTTGCCTAAAAGAACACAATGATAGTTTAGCACTTTACAGCCGCAGCCTCCCCACTGTGGAACCTGATGTTCCCAGAGGTCTCCCATCACAGTACTAACCAGGCCCTGCCCTGCACAGTTTCACAGGCCTGAAGGGATCTGGCCTGAGCCAGTCTTTTTTTAATCACATTGAAATATGTAAACTGTGACTTTTTAGTAATTGAAATGCAAATACAAAAGTATTGAAACATGATTTTCAGGGTAAACTATTTCAAATGGAAAAACTCAAGCGAATTTACAGGAGCACTATGTAAACATCTGGCCAAAAGTGGTACTGCAGCCTCTCCCACTCTTCTTGACTCAGTTTGCCAGGTATGCAGACGAATCCAGCTGAGGCCATATTAACTCAATAGACAAGAGTTTTGTCAACCACAAATCTATAACCAACACTTTTTTCACAAAGGCACCAATAGAAATCTTATTTTATTCCAAGTTTTGTTATCTATGATTTGAGAATAACAACAAGACCTTTTTTTAGTACTGCGGCCACATGATACTTTACCAGTGAGATTAGCTCGATGCGGTGAGTTCTGGCAACCCGGATCACAGACTTTCTGATTGGTAAAACAGTGGAGGGCGGGACATTGAAATGAAAACAATAACAAGATTTAGGGACTGTAAAACAAATTTTGAAAATCGAATATCTCGGCTGTAATTCTGTTATCAGTTAAAGAAGTATTCGAAAAGACCATGGTTTAACAATACCTTTTGACATATTAGGTCCATCCATTTTCTTCGGCCCAGACTTCCCTATCTACACAATTCTTCCAGCTCCTTGGGGTCTCCTCCTGGGGGGGACGTGCACGGAACACCTCCCCAGCGAGGCCTTCAGGAGGCATCATTGTGGAGCAGCAGCAGCGGCTCTACTTCGAGCTCCTCCCGTGTGACTGAGCTCCTTGCCCTATCTCTAAGGGAGCGCACAGCCACTCTGTGGAGGAAGTTCATTTTGACCGAAGCTCATGGCCATGGCTGAGGGAGGGAACGAAGATTGACCCATAAATCGAGAGCTTTGCCTTTCGGCTCAGCTCCCTCTTTACCACAGCGCACGCTGCACCAATCCGCCTGACAATCTCATGCTCCGTTCTTACCCCACTCAATACACAACAATTTACAATACAATACAATTTATTCTTTTATAGCCCTAAATCACAACAGCAGTCACTTCAGAGGACTTAACAAAACCATTGAAATCACCTACGCAGATCAGAGAATCAACGGTTTAGACACAACAGAAAGGCAAGGCAAGGCAAGTTTATTTATATAGCACAATTCATACACAAGGCAACTCAAAGTGCTGAGCGAAACAAGAAAGCATTAAAATCATAAATATCACAGTACATTAAAAAGAAAGATAAAAATATAAAATCCCTCAGTTGTATGCACAGCTAAACAGAACTGTCTTTAACCTGGTTTTAAACATTGTCAGAGAGGAGGCCTGTCTCACATCTTCAGGAAGACTGTTCCAGATTTTAGCATTATGAATCTGAAAAGCAGCCTCCCCATGTTTAGTTCTGACTCTGGGCACTAACAAGAGTCCAGTCCCTGAGCTCCTCAGAGTCCGAGCCGGTTCTTATGGGACCATTCCATTCCATTCCATTCCATCTTCTTCCGCTTCATCCGTTGCCGGGTCGCGGGGGCAGTAGTCTAAGCAGAGACGCCCAGACTTCCCTATCCACACACACTTCCTCTAGCTCGTCTGGGGGGACCCCAAGGCGCTCCCAGGCCAGTTGAGAGACATAGTCCCTCCAGCGTGTCCTGGGTCTTCCCCGGGGCCTCCTCCCGGTGGGACGTGCCCGGAACACCTCCCCAGGGAGGCGTCCAGGAGGCATCCGGAACAGATGCCCGAGCCACCTCAACTGGTTCCTCTCGACGTGGAGTAGCAGCGGCTCTACTCCGAGCTCCTCCCGTGTGACTGAGCTCCTCACCCTATCTCTAAGGGAGCGCCCAGCCACTCTGCGGAGGAAGCTCATTTCGACCGCTTGTATCCACGATCTCGTTCTTTCGGTCATTACCCAAAGCTCATGACCATAGGTGAGGGAGGGAACGAAGATTGACCGGTAAATTGAGAGCTTTGCCTTTCGGCTCAGCTCCCTCTTTACCACAACGGTCCGATACAGAGACCGCATCACTGCGCACGCTGCACCGATCCGCCTGTCAATCTCACGCTCCATCCTTCCCTCACTCGTGAACAAGACCCCGAGATACTTGAACTCCTCCACTTGAGGAAGGACCTCCCCACCCACCTGTAGAGGGCAAGGCACCTTTTTCCGGTCGAGCACCATGGCCTCGGATTTGGAGGTGCTGATTCTCATCCCAGCCACTTCACACTCGGCTGCAAACCCCCCCAGTGCATGTTGCAGGTTCTGGTTCGTTGGAGCCAACAGGACGACATCATCCGCAAACAGCAGAGATGAAATCCTGTGGTCCCCGAACCGGACCCCCTCCGACCCCTGGCTGCGCCTAGAAATTCTGTCCATGAACACAGTGAACAGAACCGGTGACAAAGGGCAGCCCTGTCGGAGGCCAACATTCACCGGGAACAGGTCTGACTTACTGCCGGCAATGCAAACACAGCTCTGGCTCCGGTCATACAGGGACCGGACGGCCCTCAGCAGAGGACCCCGGACCCCGTATTCCCGGAGAACCCCCCAAAGTACACCCCGGGGAACACGGTCGAACGCCTTCTCCAAATCCACAAAGCACAAGTGGACAGGTTGGGAGAACTCCCATGAACCCTCGAGTATCCGATGGAGAGTATAGAGCTGGTCCAGTGTTCCGCGACCGGGACGAAAACCACACTGCTCCTCCTGAATCCATCGGCCGTAGCCTCCTCTCCAGTACCTTGGAGTAAACCTTACCAGGGAGGCTGAGGAGTGTGATCCCACGATAATTGGAACACACCCTCCGGTCCCCCTTCTTGTAGAGAGGGACCACCACCCCGGTCTGCCACTCCATTGGCACCGCCCCCGATCGCCACGCGATGTTGCAGAGACGTGTCAGCCAAGACAGTCCTACAACATCCAGAGACTTTAGATAGTCACGACGGATCTCATCCACTCCCGGCGCCTTGCCACCATGGAGGCTGCCAACCACCTTGGTGACCTCTGCCAGGGAGATGGAAGTATCCGCCCCAACATCCTCAGCCTCTGCCTCCAGGGCGGAGGACGTGACGGGGGAATTGAGGAGAACCTCGAAGTATTCCTTCCACCGCCCGACAATATCCCCAGTTGAGGTCAGCAGCTCTCCACCCGCACCATACACAGTTTTGGCAAAGAACTGCTTCCCCCTCCTGAGGCGCCGGGCGGTTTGCCAGAATCTCTTCGAGGCCGACCGATAGTCATGCTCCATGGACTCTCCGAACTCCTCCCAGTCCCGGGTTTTTGCGGTCGAAGGTCAGATGATACGACAACAAAGTCGATCATCGACCTCCGGCCTAGGGTGTCCTGGTGCCACGTGCACTGGTGGACACCCTTGTGCTCGAACATGGTGTTCGTGATGGACAAACCGTGACGTCCCAAGAGCCAGATGTTGGGTGTGTGGACTGGGTCGCCGAGGTCTCCGCCTTCGACTGCTGCCCAGTCCTCTCTGCACCGCGCCACCACGGACCCCTCTGCAGGTGGTGGGCCCACAGGAGGGACTGCCCACGTCGTCCCTTCGGGCTGAGCCCGGCCGGGCCCCGTGGGCTAAGGCCCGGCCACCAGGCGCTCGCATTCGAGCCCCGACCCCAGGCCTGGCTCCAGGGTGGGGCCCCGGCTGCGCCATGCCGGGCGACGTCACGGTTCTTCTGTTCGTGCTGTCCATGCTGGCTTCTGACTGCTCTTCGTCTGACTCGTCACCCGAGACCTGTCTGCCATGGGAGACCCTACCAGGGGCATGAAGCCCCAGACAGCATAGCTC